GAGACTTCTCTCTGTTATCGCGATCGAAAATATTCTGAATATTTAGCGATATTAAAGAAATGTCTACAGGAATCTTTTTGCTTTTACCACTGAGTTTTTGTCTGATCCCCGAGCAACGGAAAATTCAGTTGTACCAAAGGAAGGTTTTTTTTGTAGTTTAATGCATAACATCAAAGCAACAATGTCAAAGATGTTAATAATTTGCTGGCTTGAATTTGCATTTGGGATTATATTATGTTATTGAACTTCTAAATTTATGTTGCTTCTAATAATACAAGTTACTTTTCTTGTAATATGTACCTTCTAAACATAAAAATTTAGAATTATATATATTTGATACTGATGATGGAAAATTTTCCACTGTCGTTTCGAAATCATGGAAAAGTCGGGAAATTTCAGAATTTATGTTCTGTGGCAACCCTGAATTGTAAAATTTAACGAGCTTTCCGAACGATATTCAGTAAGGTGTTGCAAATTTTAACATCTACAAACGAAATATGCTTAATCTGAAGACAATAAAAACAACTTGTGCATTTCTTACTGAGAATTAGGAAGTAGGATATGGAATTATCGTGGTAGACAAAAGTAAAGAGAGATCCGTGTATTTCTTATTGATAGAAACTGATTTTCAATTTATTTGACATCCCATATTTTTAGCCTTTGTTATTATTCAATAAAGTCGTACAGGAGAGACTCCCTTGCTTATATTATACAATTATATATTAGATAAAGACCAAATATGTCGGAAATGATCGATTTTTCGTAATAACGCAAAACGTTATTTCGATAGACTTTGACAAGTCGGATCTGTGTAGAGCCAGTGTAGAGTTGGCGAGCACGGATCACCGCGTTTTTACGCGTGCATGCTCGCCCGCGAACACTTCGTTTCAACATTGCGTTTAAAACAACCTATATGTATTGTACTTTACATTCCGAGAAATTTACTTTTTACACAATTACAGTTAAATAGAGAAAACGGACGTCCGTGGATAGATTCCGGCGATTGTAGACTCGGCCTAATACACCCCGTATAGAATTTCGAGGAGCAAACAATGTACACGGGAGATACAACTTCTTAGAAGCTGCGTCCGGGGAGCGCTGTATCAGCATCACTGCTACTGCATCATTCATCCTTTGTTTTTACGATCTAATTAACGATAAAATGACATAATAACGCTAAGCAAATTGACATAAACGCCCTCCCCGTACGCAGCCTGTATGCTTAATCGACATTTAAAAATTCCCGTTTTCCTCAATATGAGAAAGCTGGCGTTAACTTTTAAGTGTTAGGATCTCACTCTGGCATTAGACGGCATTTTTATATCCCCACCGCGCGCGACGATGTTAACAACGCCCTGTACAGAAATTTCTGCGTATACCCGTTCGTTTTTTTTAGAGCACGCTGGCAATTTCTTTTTTTTTTCTTTCCTTTTCTTTTAAAGCTATGATATAATTAATATTATACCTACTGGAGTATTTAAACGCTACATAAAAGATAGACGTTACATTTACAATTTAAATAAAGCAAAAACGAGACAGCTGTCAGTTTGTTGGAGACAAAGTGATTCCCTTTGTGTCGGGGCTAATTTCGCCCGTACATCATCCATCATCCTGGCGGCACGCAGTAACCGCGGGTGAATGGAACCGGAAGATATATAAGTTTTCCTTAAATAACTAAAGAATTCGTGTCTTAAGACAATAACCAGTTACTCGGAACCAAGTTACGAACAATGGAAATAATACATTGCTTGGACATAGTAATGATATATTAATGAACCTTATATTACTTCTCACTGCCGAGGAAAAAAATAAAATGGAACAGATTGAGATCGTTTAAGTGAAGATCAGTGAGATAATAGGCGAGTTTTTGATTTGAAGCTCCCATTCACCTGCCGCGATATTACGTATGTCGCTTGCTGAAGGATATCAATCAGCCTTCCGCGTCGGGTTCTTATCAGCCTGTCTACTGATCCCTTCGTTGTTTTTTTTTCTTCTTTTTTTTCGTCCGCGCGTCACGCAAGCGTCGTATCAGTTACGTGATACGCCTTCGGCAAACAACTGTCTCAGAATTGAATTCACGTATCACAGAGCAGTTCACACGTTCCGCCTTGAGAAAGTCTTCCTCAACCAGAAATTACACCTCGCTATGAATCTGCTCGGCCCTTACGTACGGAAATGTCGCAAGATTTGCACTCTTTCGTCCAGCATTATGTTTCTTCCCTCTTACTTTTTTTTTTTTTACAGAGCTCGCTCTCTTAACGAGAAGTATAAAAAACTATGTACAGATGCACTTCCGTTGCGCTCTCGTGTCAACTGAGTACAAATAACGAGTTGCCTCCTATTTTATAACTGCCTGTTTTTACCGTAGGTGGACGGGATAAGAGAAATCGGCGCGCTTTTACCATGCAAATGACAACACATTCGCATAAGCAATATTCGATAATCGTTCCTCTTAATTAAACTATGTAAATGTCTGTTGCAATGTTTAATAATCATTTAACTATGGTAATCAGTATTTTATATTACTTTGTATGTAAAACGCAAAAGAAAATGGTTATCTTTCTGTCTAGCACGCGCTGAATATCTCGCTTCGTATATTTCCACTTATTTTCATTCTTTTCTTATCTCTGATCGCTGATCATTGTAAACGAGTTGCAAGTTTGTTATTATGTCACGAACAGTAATACTCAAACTTTCCTCTGATCGCATAAAGCAATCGGCGCAATTATTAGCTAAAGAACAGATTTACCCGTCCACCGTTCTTCAAACGTTCGCTGCGGCAATATGGTGTGATCAGGTGCCACTCTGAGGGCCGTGCCATGTTTTTAAACTGACTAACGAAATGCGACAGCCCCACGCTGCTTTCCCCTCTTTCGTATCAATCGTCAAAGTGTGTGTTTAACCAGGACTAACTTAGTTCAATAACATATTTTACATTTTGGATATTTTGTTAAACTTATAAACGACTCTCATAATGTACGTCATGTCTTTTTTAAACGTCCGACGATCCACTCCAGTCCCTGGTACAGCCTGAAACATATTTTTTTCATTTACTTTACTATTCCTTCTTCCTACTAGAAATTAGGGCTGGCGATTTGCTTCGAAGGCTTCGACATTCAAACTTCGAAGATTCGAAACTTCGGCATTAAAATCTTCAAATTCTTTCGAAGCTTCGAAGTTTCAAAAAATACATTCGTGCAAATGAATTTATTCAGAAAATTTACAAATCTTTTAAATTAAAAAAATTAATATATATGCTCAAAAAATATATATACATAATTATTCCTAAAAAATTTGAAAGTATTATAACATGAAATATTATAAATTAATAATTAAACTTGATACATATATAAATAAGGAAAGATAATGATCAAAACAATCAAATTAAGAAAATTCAAAAAAATAAAAATTAATTTATTCTTAAATAAATAAACAAAAATATAATAAATTAATATAATTCTGATGTTATTAATTAAATTAATATGTTCTGGCGTCATTAAATCTTCCTCAGCATAAATTTAAAATCATAAAATCAGGGTTGGGTAAGTTAATATATTTTTTTAACTAAGTTAAGTTAAAGTTAACAGTCTAAAAATTTAACTTAGTTAAGATACAGTTAGTCCATAATAAAATTAATTGAGTTAAAAGTTAGGTTAATAAAAAAAGTAATTGAAAAGTTAAAGTTAAATTTTTTATTTTATAATTTTAGGGTTTCTAAATAAAGTATCTAAATAAAGTATATATTTGTTATACTTATTTCTGTCGAGCCGCGGAAAGAGGACCGATTTCGAAGGACTTCTTCCAACGTGATTTAATGCACAGAAGGTCCGCGAACAGTGATTCCTTCCCGCAGTTAGACTATATTTATTATATTATTATAATTGCTTTGATGTATTCTCAAATTTGAGTTTGAAGACACTAACTTAAACATGTATTATATTCTAAGTTTACAAGAAGCACTAAAAATGTAATTTCAAGAAAGTTAGATCAAAAGTTAATAATTACCGATAAAATGTAACTAGATTAAGTTAAAAGTTAAGAGCTTAAAATGTAACTAAGTTAAGTTAGAATTATTTAACTTTTTAATTTTTTAACTTAACTTTTATCTTTTTAACTAGCCACTACCCAATTCTGTATGTTGTAAACTGATTGTTAATGTAAGTTGTTATTTTATTGTTTTATGAGTTTCATCTATCACTTTTATTCTTACTACTACATGTACTATGTATATTGTATTGATTAATTTGCACCTACACCATGAAAAACATTTTTAGCTTGTTACAAATTGTTTCGATATTATTACATTTCAAATATCATATTTAAATATAAATTATTATATTAAATATGATATAACAACGACAACAATAATAATACAATTAAATAGAACTGCATATAAAGCATAAGAGTGCAATTAGATTTCTTTTAAAATAAAAATTAAAAGAAAAAAGATTGTTATTTTTAGATTTAAAATTTCTTTAATAATTGGCCATCGATGCACATTTATTAGTATACTGTACGTTATCATATAAATACAGGAGATATCTTTCAATTGCAATTAAGCATATTGATAACAGTCGAGACTATCAATAATATTACACAGTGAATAGAAGTTTAGAGTCTTCGTACATTGTTGCATATGCACAAATGAAGAATATGGATATGGATTCAAGAATAAACGTCGCAATGATGTAAAACAATTTATTGCAGTACAATCTTTTTATTATACGTTTACTGTAAAGATGCACGCGAATGTTTTCTTCTAATTATCCTTACTCAATGAAGGGACAATTATCTTTCAGCCGATTTTGTTGACCGTAGCAAGTTATCGAAACTTGATCCTATTTAAACGCGAACTTCGTCGACTCCAGTTTACACAATCAAGATTAATCTGCCAGATGTTATTATAAAACACTTCAAAAGTTTATCATGAATTCAATATCTTACAAGCTAATGTTTCAGATTTGTCCTTAAGTCTCGATTTAATAAAAAGTTATTAGAATAATAAAAAATTAAATTTTTAACATTGTGACAATATATAAATAATCCAATATATCTAATTTGATACATATATTATTATACCCTTATTGTTAGACACAAATTAATTATTGCATTCAAATATATTATTATATGTTCCTTTCTATTATCATATTTTTCTACGAAGTATTTAATTATGATACTATTGTAGAAAAATAGTTTTATAAAGTAAGGAATGTATATGTCCAAAAACTACAGTTAAAAATAGAAAAAAAGTAAACATAAAACAAGAGCTGAATTTTTTAAAATAAAATGTTACATAAAAATTAAATTGTAAACACATTTCTCATACTAATAAACTAATTTTTACTAATCCTAAATTCTGTGATAGATCTTTATCTTTATAATTAAATTTTATAA